CTGTCCTGACATGACCCCATTCACAACTTGCATCACTGTGCCAAAACAATTGTTTTTCACTATGTATATCAAAGTCATCTTCCTTTACCGATCATTGTATTCATGATGCAATGGAAAAGCAAATATTATTTCTTATAATATCTTCCCAGGGGACCTATTACAGCTGTGGTTATGTTTCCATTTATTGAGTAATCATTACATTCCAGGCACTGGGCTAGGTTATTTATATTCAGCATCTTATTTAGTCCTCATAAGGACCTTGCAAACTCTGTATCATTCACTTCATTTTCTATGTAAAGAAAATGAGACTCAGAAAGGAACACACTGGTCTCAAAGTCATTAAGCTGTTTACCTGCAGAGCCAGGACTAGAATCTAGAATGTCCTTCCTTCCTTTCTTCTACATCAAAGTCCTTGTACACATTTTCACCACTTATGTGGCTAACCAGCAGAGCAAAAGCCCATGAATATAACCTTCATTAAAAAAGTTAGGTATTTTCCCCTCAAATTATGTATTTTGTCACCAGCATCATGGATTCTCTGTGACATAGACTGGTTGGCTTTATACAACAATAACTTTTAAAAACCTATGATTTTATGATTTATAATGTGTATTTGGTCTTAGTTCCCATTTCTGTCATAGCTCTCCTAAAACCCTTGAAATTTCCTAAGTGTTGAGAGCAATAAAGATGCCTTTTGTTATGTTAATGAGGTGACCTTTGAACACACCTAAGGAAGGCAGCTGGTTGTCTGGAAAGCCAACCATGTGATAAGAAGGTTGAAACATTCAGTCCTACTTCTCCCCACCACCTCCAGGGGGAAGAGGGGCTGGAGATTGAGCCAGTTGCCAAATGCCCAGTGTCTTAATCACTCATGCCTGTGTAATAAAGCTTCCATACAAGTCCAAAGGAGGCGGTTCAGAGGGCTTCCAGGTTGATGAACACATGGGGAGAGCATGGAAGTGCTGAGCCCTCTCCCCACTCTTTGCCCTACACAACTCTTCCATCTGAATATTTATCTGTAGTTTTTATTGTGCCTTTTAAAAATAAACTGGTTAATCCAATAAGTAAACTGTTTCTCTGAGTTCTGTGAGCTACTCTAGCAAATTAAGCAAACTCAAAGAAGGGTTGTGGGAACCTCCAACTTATAGCCAGTCTGCCAAGTTCAGAAGTATAGGCAATAACCTGGGTTGGGAGTGGGTGAACAGTGTTGTCGGACTGCTAACCTGTGGAATCTGGTGCTACTGCTGGGTAGGCTGTGTCTGAAATGAGTTAATTTTTACACATCCTGCTGCTGTCCATGAATTGCTTGTTGGTGGTGTGGGATCCCTTCCCTCCATCCACACATGGAAATTAGTTCCCAGAACACCCATTTAAAATCATTTTAGACTTCTACTCAAAAATGAAAACTGATTTCCAAAGCTATAAATCTTTGATTGCATCACTAAGAAACAGAATAGAACCTAAAGTGTTCTAAAAAAGAGAGAGGGGGGGAACAGGAGATTGTCAATGTGATTTTACAGTTGGTATTCTTCACAGGGAGCCTGAGCAGAGTAGAAAAGCATCTGTCATCAAATGTTGCAAAGGCCACTGCCCTAGTTAAACTGTTGTGAACTGGGGCACTTGAGTCTGAGTAATTCAGGGCTTTTATTTTCAGCACATGTCCCCAATCATTCCTGTAGAAATGAAGGCCACCTCTTGACTCCAAATATGCCATTTACCCTTAGCTCATACCCTGTAACTTTTATCGAAACAGTAAAGATACAAAACTAGAAAAATGTTACATTCTCAGATAATAGAAGTAGAAAGCATTTGAGCACAAGGGAAAGTGAAAAAGTTTGCTAAGATCTACAAAACCAAAAAGATATTTCTAGTTGTATGCCCTTAATGTGCTTCCTTTCACTTTATCATTTGCTCTGTAACATATCCTACTGACCATAAATGTTATCATTTATTTTAAAAGAAAAATACTTCCATTTCATAGAAACCCAAATAATGCATACACACTGGGAATGGGGGAAGGTGGCCTACATTTGGGGAGATCTTTCTATCTAAATTCTTACTAGATCTGAATACGCATAGCTTATTTCAACAAGAGTTCAGAAAGATAACCAGGAGTGATGCAAGTATCACTTTAGTCCCCTCAGTAATTCTAGATTCTTCTATGGTCTTTTATTGTATTATTTTTCCCTGACAGGTAAAGCTCTTTGGCTTTGTCTAGTGTTGGCCAAGGTCAAGGGGAAAGGATAAACCTGAGTAGAATAAATAGTAGACATGCTGACAGCCATGATGATGTAATGGGATTTTTCTTTGTTCTGTAATAGTCAGTGTTATGCTGTGGTTATGGACTCCAAAATCAAGCTTCTTAGATTCAAATCCTGGTTATTGGCTGAATAGTGCTGGGTCTCATCTATAAAACGAAGGTGCAGATAAGAGCACTTCAAAGAGTTCTTGTGAGGTTTAAGTGAGTTGATAATATAAAGCATCTAGATCAATGCATAGTGAGTCCGCAGTAAATATCAAAATTAAGAAAATTTAATACATGAAATTTCTCATTATGTCTTCCAAAATATTTTCATATAGTTACCTAGTATTAAGGCATAGATTAACAATAATTGATTTTAACTCACTGCCTATTATAATAGTTTTAGATTATTTCTAATTTTTCAGTTCATATTGTCTTATTTTTTCAGATTAACCTTAAAATTACTTTTCCAATGTCTGAGAAAAATACTCATAAATTTTTAATTGGAATTATATTAAGCCTATACATTTATTTGGGGGAATATTCTTTTACAAAGTCTATTTTTATCATCCTGGCATATAATATAGCTATTTACATATTGTAGTATTAAAAAGTGACCTAATATTTTATAATTCTTTTCATAGAGATCATTTATATTTACTTTTACATTAATTCTTAGATAATTCATAATTCTTCCATTAGTAGCTTTTAAATAGAATTTATTCTTATTACTCTTAGGAAATATTTGGTATTTTGTTTAGTGGCTTTTTATACAGATGCTATAATTTTTAAAGTAAAAAAAGTCAAATCTTTTTTGCATAGAAAGTCTCAATTTATATCCTGAATTTAGAGCAAATTTTACCTATAACTTTTTTTTTAGTAAAACCACTTTCTAAAAGGTAAAAGTATTTAAGTCCATAATATAAATATATCTCTAAGAAATATGGTGATATTATGGAGAATCACTACAATAAACAAAATTCTTGCTTCATCTTCCTTAAACAATGAGTCAGTAAGACAATCTCAGTCAAATAGAAAGCAAAAACTTAAAAAAAAAAACCCTCACTATTTCGTTAATGGATTAATGGATTATAAACTACAGAAGTCTAACATTTACTACTGTTTTGCCTTCTTTTCTACTCATCCCTACTTTAGCATTCTTTTCATAGCTCTGTAATTGCCCTGTTTAATTATCATTTACTTTGTTTACTATCTATTTCCCCTCCCCCACTGATTTACTGTCTACCCCCCTTATTGGTTTCAGATATGCTATGTGTGAGAATATTATTTATACGTTAAGAGCTTAGGAGAGAGTGTTAGATGGGAGATGGGAATTTGGGAGCCATTAGATTTTAAAGCTATGCAATGAAATGAGTGTATCTGGCAAGTGACTATAGATCAAGAAGAGATTTGATGTTGAGAATAAGAAAGGCCAGCCAAAGAGACTGAGAAGAAGCCACCAGTGAGGTAGGGAAAAAACAAAAAATGAAACAAGAATGTGTGATGCTCCAGAAGTCTATGGAGAAGTAAGTACAGCACAGGGCTGAAGGAAATTAGTGGTAATCAAATACCTGTGAGTTCAAATAAAATGATGACTAAGAATTGACCACTTTAGACCATTGTGGAGGTTGTTGCTGGTTTGACAAAGGTGGTCTTAGTGAGTAGAGTGATGAAATCTGGACTGGAATAGAAGAAAAGGAATGGATAGTAACAAAGTGAAGGTAGAGACAATAGACAACTCTCAATATTTTTTGCAACAGAGAAATGGGCTATAACAGGAGAATGATGTTAAATCAAAGGATTTTTATTTTAAGATAGGAGATACTGAACCATGTTTATATGCTGATATGAGTTTTGATAGGTCAAAAGGAAAGTGAAGGCTATGCAAGTGGCAGGGCTAGCTATGGAAAGAAGAGATGGACGAGAAGGAATGCAAAGTGAGAGAGAGAAAAGGAGAGAGAGAGATAAAGATGCATGCAGATTGGTAGATCTGGTGATGGGACTATAAAGCATTTTTTTCTGGATGTTTCAAGCTTTCAATGAAATAAGAAGTTTCATCAACTAACAGCGAGAAATGAGAAACTTTAGAGATTCGAGGAGTGAAGAAATTGTGTAACATAATCATCTCAGGACGCGTGAAAGCAATTTTAGTAGGGAAATGTAGTATGAGTCAAAAGGTAGTACCAAAGCCCTGGCTGGGTAGGTCAGCTGGCTAGAGTGTCATCCCAGTATGCCAAGGTTGTGGGTTCAATCCCTGGTCAGGGCACATACAAGAAGCAACCAATGTATACATAAATAACTGGAATAACAAATCGATCTTTCTCTCTCTCTTTCTTGTCCTCTCTCTCTCTAAAATCAGTTAATAAAAATTTTTAAAAATAACAAAAGAACATACTGAGGAGCCATTTAAGATACAGTGATATAATTAAAGTGAAACAAGTGGAATTTCCTCTAGGGAGCAAACAGAAAGGTTACTGAGGATATACGCAAGAGGGAAATTATAGCAATGAACCATGGCATCTAAACCAAGTAAGAAGGAAGTGAGGGTTTAAGAATATGGTGAGTTAATGCATTGTCCAGATGAGACCAAAGAACAGTTGCTAAAGTAACTGAATTGAAAGACTGGAGTTATTTGAATCTCAAGTAAATGAAACCCTACATAACCACGCTTACAATTCTCCAAAGGGGCTGGACAATGTGACTCTAACCATAGGCACACAACTTGAGCCCTGATGAAATAATCTCAGGAGGCTAACTATCCAGTCAGCATGTGATTTTATTTACTTACAATTTCTCAGAAATGCATCTGTTGAGAAAAGCAGGGTCCATCAGTACAACAACTTTATCCCTTTTATTTTAAAGTATGTTTAAATGTTTTAATGCATCAAGCTGAGACGCAGAACATCATTCAAACCAAGCATGCTATTAGAGCAGCATCCGTAAGTGCCTTTTTGTTTTTCTGCTTATTAGTCTCTTAATAGCAATAAGACATATTACCAAATTTGAAAGCTAATACATTTCCAGAATAATCTGAACAGCAAATAAACAGAATCTTGTAATGCCATCTCAAATACTCTTCAGAAAACTGTTAAGAGGGCAAAAAGTCCATAAAGTAAGGCGCACGGGTAGGCAACGAGAAGCTGTTGTCCTTCCATGTCCAAGGCGGAAATGAAGATTTTGGAAGCTGAGAGACTACACCAGACAATGATGACCAGTGCCAACACAGTACCGATCGTGCCCCTGTAGCAAAGACAAAAGAGATGGTTACCTTACATCAGGAGAAAGAGGTTACTGAATCAGAGCTGCCTTTGAAATGTCTTTGGTGCAATATTTATAACTACTTTCTCATTTGTAAAATGAGGGTGAGGAACCATATGAACTTAAAGGCCTTGGCCAGCGGGGCGGGACAGGGCGGGATTGGGTGAGACGGGCCGGGCATGCCCTGGAGCCAACCTCCTCTGCCACCACAGCTCGAAGGGCTGGGTGAGCAGCAAGGTCCCTCTGGCAGGTGGGGTCACTGGGACTGGCCTGAGTTCTCCAACATCCCCCAAGGGGTCCCAACCCGGAGTGCGAGAGGGCACTCTGCAAAGCTGCTCGGACTGGCCTGCGGGGATTGGGCTGAAACTGGTTCTCCAACATCCCCCGAGGGGTCCCAGAGTGCGAGAGGGCACTCTGCAAAGCTGCTGTCGAACAGGGTGTAGAATGCAAACGCAAGTGAGCAATAAATCAGATTCAGGACCGACAGTGCCTTAGGAACAACATAACCCACAGCCAAAGGTGGAATTGCACAGCCCCACGAGGAATCGGGCTCCCTCCTCTCTGGTTTCAAGGTGCGTTGTCCGAGAACCACCGCTGCCAAGTCACCACAACTTGGTGTCTCCTGCGTTGAGCGTCTGCCCCCTGGTGATCAGTGCACATCATAGGTACCGGCTGGTCAGACAGTCGGACAGTCACTTAGTTTTTTATATATCTAGATTATATCTAAATAAAAAGATTAAATGCTTTTCTAAAATGTCTATCTTTGGTATTGGTATGTTCTTTATATAATATCTTATCCAATATAGGGTTAATAACCTAGAATGTGGATCCTCCAAGAAAAAAATACAAATTATGTCTCATTACAATGTGGAATCATGAGCACTGATGCCAAATGTTTATTTCTACTTGGGCTTAGAGCATAACAAGTGACAAAGGACGGTGTAATTACTTCGTCTCCCCAATCAAAGTGGTTGTGACATGCAGCTGTCCCAGGAGAGTGCCTGACAGAAACTTAGCTACTGCATTCTTACTAATGGTTTTGAATTGCAAACACTAACTGCTCAGGAAGTAAAAAAGAAAAAAAATTCTTGACTGAGCACATAAGCCATAAAACTCTCTAGCATTAATATCCTCATCAGGGTTTCTGGGAATTCCGCACCACACGGAGCCCAGCTGAGAGAGAACAGTTGCCTCCCACCTAGAAGACAGAGTGCCTGGGAGCTGCGGCGATTTGTCAGCGGTTCGCCAGGCACTTACTCTTCCACAATCAAACAAGTGAATTTTTTAAAGATCTTCCATTACCCATGACAATAGCTCATACTGAAGAATGTGGCAACTCACAAAGTGCCAGTTTTAAAGATTACTTGGTGTAATCTATTTTTTAAATCACTGCTATAGAAACAGCACCTTAGCCGAAACTGACCTACTTCCCTGAATCTGCCTGTAGCTTTTTTTAAAATATAGTTTTATTGATTTCAGAAAGGAAAGGAGAGGGAAAGATACAAACATCAATAATGAGAATCATTGGTCAGCTGCCTCCTGCACGCCCCGCACTGGGGATCAAGCCTGCAACTGGAGCATGTGCCCTGACCGGGAATGGAACCATGACCTCCTGGTTCATGGGTCAACGCTCAACATCTGAGCCTCCATGGCTGGCCATGCCTGTAGCTTTTAATAGTCATCAAGTCCCCAACTCCACTACCAAAATGCCTGGGAAGAGGTCAGTGTTGCACTGATGTGGCATGTCTTAGCAGTGACTGTGCATGTGGGGTCTATCAACGAACGAGGACACTTACTGCAGTGAAAAGAAGACGGCGCTGCCAGACAGGATGACCATGGGGAGCAGGCAGTAACCCAGCACACTCGCCACGCAGCCATAGGACACCCCGGAAGAGCTCATCAAGTTTAGTAAGGCATAAATCCCTATGCAGCCGATGGCACTCATGCCATAAATGTAACCAAACTGAACTTTTCCTGCCTGAAACAGGGAGAAGAAAACAGTTTGAATACACAGAAAGCATCAAGAGAAAAATCAGGGTGTCAACAAATCGGAGAGCATTTTAGAATCAATCAGCTCAGCGCTGTTCCATATCTTTGTAGTGCTTACTACAATTATCAGGAGACTGGGAGTTCTGGGTGAAACACTGACTGTATTATGAATTCAGGTCCTGAAAACAAACACCCCTGACTATACTTGGGATGGCACAAGCATGCTACAGAGGAGGTGAAATATTTTTAGGTTTTTTATTTTTATTTTTATTTTTATCACAGATTGCCTATTAGAGCATAAGTAAGCATATATTTTCTCCCCATATTTGTAAAATAATTAAATAAATGGATCAATTAATGAAAAAAATTCCAATTTAATCTTGGTTATTTACAAGGCATATTATTAATATAAGCAAAGACCCATAGGATTTGCTATGTTAGGGCCTATTCTAAGCATTTCTATAACTTATTTAATCTACACAACCATCCTATGAGATAGGTAGCATTATTTTATCAATTTTACACAGGAAATTGGGGGGGCAGAAAGTTTAAGTAACTCCCCAAAATAAAATAATGCTAATTGGTTGAAGTTGGCTTTGATCCCAGGTAGTCTAGCTCTAAAATTTAGGTCCTTAACTACAGGAGCTTTAATAATGGAACTTATTTAACCTTTTATTACCCAGCATATGCCAAACTTATCACAGAAAATTTTGTTTTCATAATGCCTAGTGCCAGTTTAATATTTTATGAAAAGTTGATTTGTATAAACTACCTGGTAATGAATCATAAAAGAGGTACTGTTAAGGGAATTCAATGGTGTTCAGGATATACCACTGAGCTTCTGAGGACTTATAAAAATAGCCGCCACTCACAAAGCACTAGGGTCCAGGAGCTGAAATATCTCCATTAAACTCATCTGGGGTAAGTACAGTCTACTGTTAATTGAACAGAGGATATCTTAATGTTGGCTACCTGAGGATGCCAACGCTCCAGTCGAGAATGATTTTAGTTTTTACATTTACATTAAACTGACTAGAAATTCTAGATAAAGGTTGGATCAATTGACTGGTTCTCATGGGAATTATTAAAAAACAACACAGGTCTGGTAAGTTGATTCAGACGTTTTTCAGCTGTCTTTTTTTTTTCTTCTCTATAGCTGTTATTTGTGAAGTCCTTATGTCTTACAGAACAAAGAAATATTTATTAATGAAGGTATTGGAGAATGTTATGACCATTGTAATGATCAAAATTTTCCAGCTATTTTCAACTCCTCTTCTTCTGTAGTTATGGAGGCTGGTCACTAAGTTCTTTCACAAAAATGTCCCTGGGCTACACTGGCAGAATCCTCTCTTGCATTAGCGAGAGTAAGTTCTCATTGAATATCTTTTGTATTCTTTTGGAATTCTTTTGTATTATTTTGTGAAATAATGTTATGGATGCTAATGGACATGCTAAAAAACACACACATCAGTTATGCACTGCACCACGGGGTGGGTTTGCTCAACTTGGAAAATAGTGACACTTTCAAACCACTTTTAAGTAGTAGAGAAACGTTTTATTTAATATTTTAACTGAATGTGATAATTCTGAGGTAATGACAGCTGTAATGGTGAAAAGCAACTTCTCTACACCCAAAGGACACAGTCTGAATTTCCTGGCCCCAAGAAGTTTTGTGATTAGAGTGGGGAAAATAAATGATGAATGAAACTAATTTGGTAGCAAAATTGTCCCTTTCCATATCAGTTATTGACATTTCTTTTCATCTTGCTCTCTTGTTATTTTATTCAATTTAAAGTACAATTCCACTTGGCAGGGGCCACTGCCATTTTTTTAATTTGTTTTGAATTGTAACAAGGGCTTGTAGTTGAAATGGAAAATAAATGTTCCTTTCTTTCTTTTTCTTTCTTTCTATTTTTTTAATTACCTACAGAAAACAGATCCCAGATCCTTTGTTACCAGAGAGCAGAGAAGAAGAGGGTTAGGAGTGGACTAAAGGGGTAAAAGGTGTTAATTGTATATTGATCAATAGTAACCAACCTTTAGGGGGAGATCACTTTGTAGTGTATACAGATGCCAAATTATAATGTCATACTACTCATGAGGTATTTATAATTTAAAAAAAGAAAAGGAGTTCCTTTTCTTTTTAACCTCAAAATTTTCAGGATCCTTCCTGCACTACCATCTTCATACTAAATCTGTATTTGAAATACTTATTCATGTGATTATCCTATATAATAAAAGGGTAATATGCAAATCGACTGAATGGCAGAACGACTGGTTGCTATGACACGCACTGAGCAGGCAGGCAGGCAGGTGAGCAATTAGGGGCGATCAGGCAGGCAGTTGAGCAGTCAGGGGCAATCAGGCAGGCAGGCAGAGTGGTTAGAGGTGACCAGGCAGGCAGGCGGTTAGGAGCCAGTGGTACCAGATTGCGAGAGAGATGTCCCAGATTGTGAGAGGGTGCAGGTCGGGCTGAGAGACCCCCACTCCCTGCATGAATTTTGTGCATCAGGCCTCTAGTATTATCTTTATAAATTAGAAAGGGGAGTCTAAAAAAGTATGCACTGGAGGCTGGCAGGAGGGTGGGGGAACAGTTAAGGGCGAGCAGGCAGAGTGGTTAGGGGCAATCAGGCAGATGAGCAGTTAGGGGCAATCAGGCAGGCAGACAGGCAAGCAGTTGGGGCAATCAGGCAGGCAGAGTGATTAGGGGCTAGCAGTTAGGAGTGAGCAGGCAGGCGAGCAATTAGGAGCGGTCCTGGATTGTGAGAGGGATGTCCAACTGCCGGTTTAGGCCCGATCCCAGGGCTATCCCCTGAGGGGTCTGGGATTGCAAGAATGCACAGGCTGGGCAAATTTTGTGCACCAGGCCTCTAGTACTGTTATATTGACCATGCATATTCTTTTTTCAGATCACACTCTTAGATCTATCCAAAAAAAAAAAAAAAAGACCCACAGCTTTAAATCACTCATGTTTATTGTGTTGGGGGTGAAAATAGTTTTGAGAGAAATAACAAGTAAAACTAAATTTGTGTTGTGTTTGAAGCTGTTCTTTTTAGTTTGCCTCCTTCAGCATGAAGAAAGTCCACTATAAGGTATTGTGCCTTATATCAACATAAGTCAGAAAAATGATGAGTATGTGACTGTGAATCCTATACCTCCAGGGACAATGAATAGATTTGGATATTGGTTCTGGATTTACTTTTGCTTTTTCTGATATATATATATATATATATATATACCCATAAAATCATCTTTTACATCTTTATTGATTTTTTTTAAGAGAGAGAGAGAGAAATACCAATTTGTTGTTCCACTTGTTTATGCACTCATTGGTTGCTTCTTGTATGTGCCCTGACCAGGGATCAAACCCACAACCTTGGCATATCAGGACAATGCCATTCTAACCAACTGAGCTACCAGGCAAAGGCTCCTCCTTTACATTTTAATTGGATATATCCAGAGTCAGGTTAACTTAGCTTCAAATGAATTCTGAGTTAAATCTGACTTCAGTAATTCAGATTTGTTTTGTCCTTATTGCTCTACATGTGTCAGAATCAATTCCTAAGTACCACATTCTAATGTTAAAATTGAAATGATAATGTTCTCTTAAAAAGTTTCAGAAAATATCCATTTTCAAATATTCCCCAACATTTCAGAACTGAACGGAACTTAAGTACCACTTTTAATAAATCTTGTTTTGTCCTCAAAATGAAAAAATAAAGTTCAAGAAACAGGAAACAAAAGATTCAAGATCACACCTAGAGGAAAAGTTCGGGGTAGATTCAATTTTCTTACTTCCAATTGATTTTTGTCTACATAGCTTTGAACTATTTAAGACAAAAGACAGAATACTCAAATAACTCCAAATAACATTGTACACCCTAAAAAGATCTTAATGGAATTAATAATTTCCTTTAAAAGATGGTGCGGGTAGCATTTCTACAGAAAAACAACAACACACAGCTGTTATATTACTTGAAAAAGAAAGATGAGTTAATATATTAAATTGATTGTTTCTGACTACTTGATTAATTGACACGGTCTTACTTTGCAGCATTTAATCTAAGATTATCAAATTACTGTGACGGAGACAGAAGGGAGGTTAGAGACTAAATTAAAACTCCAGTTGATATAGTATTTGATTTATAGAGTATTTGTATTTGCTGTAGTTCAAAGGAAGAAATAGATGCTATCACTAAACACTATTGTATTAGATAAATAAACTATGATTATTGATCACATTATTATGCAGAAACTAGACTTCTATCAGTGTTTTGATACTGGTATTAAGTAGTTAATAAATAAAAAGTAAACATTATATAATTGCAAATAACACTTTACAGCTACTTTTAAAAATTGTAACTACAGTGCAGAAAAACAATTATGGGAAGTAGCTGTAAGAAAGGAAAGTGAACAAGGCCTAGAATTTTTAATTTCCTGTATTAGTTCTCCTGCAAAGTTTATCACTTTATGCTTTAATAAAGCCATATTTTTTTCAGGCTAACTTGACCATATTTTTCATCCAGGGTTGTGTTTTTTATTAATACCCACCTGAGCATATGATTATTGATTTGAGAGAAAGGGAAACACTGATGTGAGGGAAACATCGATCGGTTATCTCCTGCACATGCCCTGACCCGGAGGACTCTCTAACCAACTGAGCCACCCACCTGGGGCCATCCTGTTTTTAATGTATTATCATTCTCTTTTTGGTATAAAATAATAAACCTTTTCTAAGTTTTTCTTTCTTTTTAAAAATGAAACATGTTTTCCAAATGATAGGCTAGAATGCTATCTAAACTTAACTTAGGTAGAAATATATGACTTAAAAATTTTTTTGGTCTATTTTGATATTATTACTCCCAGATATAAAGAATGAAAGAGGCACATACACAAGGGAAATGGTGAAAGTCAGGGGGGTGGAAATATCATCATAAAACTGCCCTAGCCGGTTTGGCTCAGTGGATAGAGCATCAGCCTCCAGACTGAAGGGTCCTGGGTGTGATTCCAGTCAAGGGCACATGCCTGGGTTGCAGTCTTGATCCCTAGTAGGAGCCGTGCAGGAGGCAGCCAATCAATCATTCTCTCTCATCATTGATGTTTCTCTCTCTCTCTCTCCCTCTCCCTTCCTCTCTGAAATAAAAATATTGATTTCAGAGAGGAAGACCCATCTTAGACTTCATAGGATGCTAGAAATACCGTAGAGATACAACCCAACCAAGAAAATGATGAACAAAGAGAAAGGATTTGTCCCGTGTCACAATACAAATTTCACAAAAAAGCAAGAAATAAAATTTAAGCCTTATATTTCCCAAGTTCGTGTGCTCCTTCAACTAACTATTCCAGATTGACATTTTTTTCTTAATAACAATAAAGACCTAATGATTAACTGCTTTAAAAAAAATTGATTTGGTGATTTTTATCTTTAAAATTTTATTTAAATTTCTATTTTTTTTTATCGGTTGTAATGCATGATGACAGTTTCTATTTTGTCACTATAGTTCTATGAAACATGTTTCTATCTCACCCCCAAAAAATGTAGCCACAAATTAAACAGACAATTTTCACTGTACAAAGTGACATACTGCGTTCTGTGTTTCCAAAGCACTCTGCAAAAACCACATTGGAAAGGACACACGTTTAAATCTGATGCTGCTGTCCTTTACCAGAAGTAGGGTGGCTCCCAGCGCCACACAGAACAGGATGGGCCCAGCCAGGTCGGTTTCATTCATAATGCTGCCATCTGCTGGCTTCAGTGGGTTTAACACTGTCAAGGTTTTTTGCCATATGTGATCAAAATTAATTCCAAGTTCTGCAAAAAAAAAAGTGGGGGAAAGGTAATATAAATATATAAAAGTATTTATATTAGAAATATAAACCTCGGAATATAGCACATCAAATATAAACATCAAATATTAGAAAAATAAACATCAGTAATATTCTTTTATTAAAGTTACTATATTTGATTCACTTGCTTAGAATTTTAATCTGATTGTTATAACTTCGTAATCTAAAACTCCAAGTAAAAATTTAAAGCATAAATAAATAAAATTATATTTTTATTTGCAAACAATGAGCTAAGAGAAATGTTTTAGACAATTTTCTTCCATAAGAAAAAGTATCCCTGACTTATGCAGCCAATACAAGCTTAAAATCTTGATGAAAATTGAGAAATGAACATTCTACAGTAAAAAGTAAAATGTAATGGCAGACCCAGAGTCCCATCCTATTGCCCATTTAGACATATCCTTTCCTCAAAATTTCCATTGCTAACACCTTGGCAAATATCAAACGTAGTATAATTTTTCCCTAGAAGAACTACCTAAACTAGAGATATTTGTCCCAGGTCTGGGACGTCCTCTGAGAGGAGAATGCTGCCTGTCTGAAATGCCACAGAGAAAGGGGATGGCCTTTTCGGCAAGTATACGGAATCGTGATGTGCACGCATATTTTTACACGCTAAATGCTCTGTGCAGTTGAGTCTGTGTAGAGATTAAATTCTTTTTTAAAATGTGTTTTTATTGGCTTCAGAAAGGAAGGGAGGAGGAGAGAGAGACAGAAACATCAGGGGTGAGAGAGAATCATTGATCAGCTACCTCCTGCACACCCCCTACTGGGGATGGAGCCTGCAACCTGGGCATGTGCCCTTGACGGAAATCGAACCTGGGACTCTTCAGTCTGCAGGCCAACATTCTATCCACTGAGCCAAACCAGCTAGGGTGAGATTAAATTCTTGAGACAAGTTAACTCTTCCCTTTTATGAGTGGTGGAATAAAATATCCTGCCATTTGCAATAACATGGATAGAAGTTGAGGGCATTATGTGAGGTGAAACAAGTCAAGATAGACAAATACTGCATGATATCAATTATATGTTGAATCTAAAATTTATTTTTAAAAATAGTCAAACTTATAGAAACAGAGTAGAAAAGTGGTTGCCAGAGGCTGTGGGACAGGTAGGAAGTGGTTGGTATAAGGGTACAACCCATCCCACAAAAATAAACAAACAACCACAGAATCCATGCTTTTTATCAAGTCAATGGCATTCAATATGATAATGGTTGTATTTTTTTAATTGAGCCCAATTCTCCCATGTGAAGGATCATCTCCCTAAATCATTTGCATGTGGCATTCAACTTCCCTTCCCAGAATTTAGTAACTCTCTTTGACCAAAGATACAGAGTATACAGAGTATACATAGTCCAACTTTTGCCGTGGCTCATACCACCTGAACACCTTGCAAAGCTGACATTTCTATCCAGAGAAGGCCAGGTGGACTTTAATAATGGCCATGACCCAAAGGGGCCTAGCTTTAACGGGGACCTCGACATTTTTCAGACAGCCAAGCAGCAGTTGGTATGAACTAGGATGGAAAGCATATCTCTCACTCATTTCACATTCAGATTGATGATTACTATCCTGAGCTTGAAAATAAAAAAATCTGGTTGGTTAAATTAATTGTGGGCAAATAATCTACATTATAACATCCATGTTGCATTCTTTTTATTTTCACAGTGTATTTATTATTTCTTAATGAACATAGACTTTGGAGAATATAAGCAGTTGTCCAAGCTTAAAATGAGGTTAGAATAGCGATTTTCAACCAGTGTGCCGCAATAATTTTTAAAATATGCAATAACCATAAAATAAAAAAAAAAGGTTGAAAACTGCTGGGTCAGAATGTCTAATGTAATTTTTGAAAGAGAATGCTTTAAAAAATTGAGAAATACAGTAGGTGAATTAATTTCACCTAAAATTTATGTTGCTTTCAAACTTCATTTTCAATTTAGACATTTATGCTAACAATGTTTTCAGTGTTTGCCACAATAAAGTGGCCTTTAATTAAAAACATCTTTTTTTCTGAAAATGCATAATAATTATTCCCAAAGAAAATCAAAGCCTTATGAGACATAATTACTGATTTCAATCATTTATTTAATGGAATAATTAACTTCTATATATGTTTCAACATTGAGTCATAAAACAGTAAATGAACCTAAGACAAACTAAATATTTTCATAAGAAAAAAGATTTTACATATTTTCTACCAAAATACATTGCCATAATACAGGGTGTGACAAAAGTAGATTTACAGTTGTGAGTACATGAAACATGAAACATAAAACATGTTTCATGTTATTGTTATTTATTAATTATTGTATTATTTTCCATACAAACAACTGTAAATCTACTTTTGCCCCACCTTATATTTTGTTTTCAAATGTATTACAAAGTATGCAAATGAGATTATAAGTATTATTAATTGTAGATAATCTAATATTACACCTTATACAAAATAAGTTAGAAAAATTGCTGTGAAATCTTAATGCAAAATTATTGTTTTACTGTCATCTAGTGGTAGTAAAGTATAAGATATATAAGTGCTATAAAAATGAACTAATATATTTATTTTTATGCAAATTATGTCATTGGCCTTTGAAACACAAACATTAGGCTATTTTACAAATACCAAATGTCACAGTGATTTCTAAGTCTGATAGACTTAAATTGACTATTAGCCTTCAAGGTGTATTTGTTAATATATTGATTGTATATTACCAAGTAGCCAAAGTTGTCATTCTTACACAAAAACAAACAAGCCTTTTAGACAACAAAGCATTTAAGGCATAAACAAGCACAGTTTCAAATAACATGTTTTTGTGCGGGGGATGTTTTATTATAGATTCATAACTTTATAGGTTGTCTTAATGTACACTCTAAAAAAGCTGGCAAATGTCATTCATCACCTTATCACAGAAATTGTGCCTAAGGCCTTTTCATGTCTTTTATAGATGAAGCTTGAGACTTTCACAAAGTCACTCAACATGAAGAACATACTAGAGCAATGCTTAGAAATTCCCTAGATTCAAAATGCAAAATTATAATAAGTGCTCTTTCTTATAATATACTATACATTTGATGGGGATAATCACAAAGAGAAAAAATAATCAAGAAATTTTCTCCAATCTGTGTAAAGTGGGAAGGGAAGTAGTTTCATTAAATGGGGAGGGTGGTTACTCTGATATAACCACTTTTCGAAATGATGTCTTCACTGTTGTGTAGACATTGCCAGGGAGTTCGAATTTAAGAAACAGTGAAGGCACCTGTGGTAACTGCAGCAATAGCACATACCTCCTTCCTATTCCCCCACACAAACATGCAGCAGACTTCCACTGGGTTAAGTGTCTTGAAGAGGCAGATTTGTTTACACGTCGAACAGTCACACACAAAACACTGTATGCATCATGCTGACAGCACACGTTACGTGCTCATTATTGCTATTATTCTCGAGCTGTACACACATTAACAGCACTTCCTTAACTTATCTTCTAGCAAAGGAGGCTCTTCATCAAAACTGTCAACGTAAGGAGACTGTGAATAATAATCCGGGCTGGATGCTGGCTGAAAGTATTGTCCAGTGTAACCTGATGACATGAGCATCTCCGGTGGGACAAAGGCAAGCTGAGGCTGTTCACTGGCTTGCTGTCTAGAGAGAGGAAAACACTGGTATTTATGCATCTAAGAAAGGGATATCATGACAAATCAAGGAAATGAAGGAAACTACAATTTCTCTTTCATGAATTATCCCAGGTTTTAAGAATATTTAAGCATGAAAGAAATAACTTGCTTAGAGTTGACCTTTAATCAAAAAAATGAAGTCCCTGGTCATAAAAAGACTTCTAGAAGACTGATCCATTCCAACTAATATTGATTATGTACAACATGCTGTCACTTTTCCTCACATTTTTCCATGTAATTAGACTTAGTAAGGTAAAATCTGTCACTTTAGTCCCATTTTGCAGAAAGAGAAATAGAAGTTCCTGGAGACGGAATGACTTGCCCAGAATCACAGAACGCAGCAGGCGTCCGTCCGTGTTTGAACTGACGCTAGCTGAGCACTCTGCCTCTTTCACTGATATTCATGGCAATCACCAAACATGGCCGTCTTTATAAATGTGTGGAAGCAACACGTGTAAATCACAATTTTAACAGTATAGCCAATGCATAGGAAAAAATAACTGTATACACTGACTGCTGTCCATAAAGAAATAGACTTTCTAGCTCTGGCCATTCCCAGACAATTATTGCCAATCAAATGACCTGTGAGCACCTAACTCAAAGTATTCAGTAGTGTCCCTCTTTTGAAGTATGCAATTTAGTTTGTCCAAAGATGTTTCTTGTCAAACATGACAATTCCTTGACCATGCTTTTGCTTGTTTTTTTATTTCATCATTTGTGTCAGGAAGCTGGAAAATAACAATCTTAGTAAATAATTTATTGTGAAAGCTAGAAAAAGGAAGAAAGAGTGAGTGACATTATTTGGTCATTTTTAATTGTGTTTTCCCTGAAGGGGAAGAAATATAAATTGTCCTTATTAACATGTGTTAAGTTTATCTGATCATAATATCGTAGGCTACACTAAGCTAAAAATACAGCCCAGGATTCTAAACTTTGTAGCTCTCTGGGATCTCTTTATGTTAAAATACTTACAAAATGGCTTTTTATACTTTCCTTCCAACATTCATCTTAATATGAAGTCTAAGAATAACATATTCATCCTCCCTTATATGAGTAAGTCTGAAAGAGAAGATAACCTCTTTTGAAAAATAAAGCTATAAAATAGAAAAAATATATACATTTAATCATTCACTAACTCACCACAAGCTCATTAAGGGCAGAGACCTGGTATAATACTTCTTGAATCACCCACACCAGCAATTTTCAACTGGCTGCTGTGCTGCAAGAATTTTTAAAAAATGCAATACCTGACTATGTAGTCAGGGGCACTAACCTTTTTTCCCCTTATATTGTCAAATTTAAAAAAATGACAACAGCCAAAACAATAGCCATCTGGTGTGAATGAGTCAAAATTATACCTTTTTTTTCTCAGGTCGGCAAAACATCTATGTTTGTGTGCTGCAGAATTTTAGCAATTAGATGATGTGTGACAGAGATAAAAAGGATTGAAAATTGCTGTTCCAAACCATATGCTGATTACTGTTATTGTTCCTGTAATCATGTGGCATATTTCTAATCTTTCTTTAAAAAAAAGAAACTATTTTTTATTGATTTCAGAGAGGAAGGAAGACAGGGAGAGAGGAGAGAGAGAGAGAGAGAGAGAGAGAGAGAGAGAGAGAGAGAGAGAGAGAGAGAGAATGAGAATCACTGAATTGAATCTTCCTTCACACTATTGAATCATTGAATTGAATCATTGACTGGCTGCCCCCTGCATGCCTCCTCCATGTGCCCTGGCTGGGAACCGAATCATGACCTCCTGGCTCATAGGTCAATGCTCAATCACTGAGCCACGCTGACAAGGCTTAATCTTTCTTTTTAAACAAAGTAGGCCCACTATCGAAAGTGCTGGTAGAAATGGATTATATATGAGAAACTGAATGGCTTTTGGTTGATAAAGCTTTCCCTAGATATGTATTTTTTTTTTAAATGTAACCAGTTCTAGAAGAATAAAAGGGACAAATAGAGATGATTGAATGGACTAGTGTCTAAAGACTATTTCATTGACATATTGTCCTGGCCTCACCAAAACGCATGCCCAGGTGCTAATAACCAGGCTTAAGGAAACATAACTTCCACAATTACTCTGGGCAAAGCAATCTCTATGAATGAGGGGATTCAGTATTGGACACATGCCCACCCCTGCCAAGAGCAAAACACATTTTTATAGGAAAAAAAAAATTGTCCAGTACCAGCCAAGTCCTCTCCTTTTCTTTTTCCTCTCTCGATTCCTCTCTGCTACCTCATCCAACAAAACATGTTCAACAGGAGCTTAGTCTCTATTGGCCTTGTTATAACGGAGGGTTAATATTAAAATCCCTCCACCATTATTTAGAAAATAAAATTTTTAAATTGTCCCTATAAAAGGAACTTCAAAATTCTTTATCTTTAAAAATTACCATGATCATTTTCTAAATTAAGGTTTCTCTTTTTATCTTATAACTTTGACTATAGCAATTAATACCATATCTCTGTGAAGAAAACCTAAGCAATACCAAAATAATCACATTATTAATCCACACTCCAACCCAGAAAAACCCTGCAAATACCCAATTCTCCTGTTTTAGGCCTTTCACTAACAAATGACTCTGAACCACAATTTTAACAATACATCTTGAATCAACACTTAATCCCATGTCTTCTAGTGTTATCCTTTTTTACTAGGTGGTTCCAATTTTGAATGACTATTCCAATGACATTCTCTTATATTTTCAGTGATGTCTTTCAAGTCTATAGTATCCTTCCATAAAAAAAAAATCAGGATGAACGGGCTGGACGCTACTATTGCTCTGTGAAGCCTATGAATTCGTAGCCTATCAAAGGCAATTGCATGAGTCAGATTGATATACCCACCACCTCAAGCAACTGTGAAGTGATTGTAAAATTCTCCTTTAGAACCGGCAACATTCTTGGTCAGATTTCCCTTCTTCTGCTTCCTGACTCTGTGGAGTTACATTTCTGCCTGTAATGAGAGTCCAAGGGTAGATTTGTCCTGAGCCAAGTAGAGTAGTTATCTAATTCAGCCACTGAAGTCAGACTGCTGTGTTCAAATCCCAATTTTATAATCTACTGGAGGTCGGGACGAAACCAGCTCTCAGACATTCCCCGAGGGGTCCCAGATTGCAAGAGGGCTCAGGCCAGACCAAGGGACCCCACTGGTGCATGATTGGGACTGGGGAGGGACGTGAGAGGTTGGCTAGCTGGGAGGGATTATGGGAGGGCTCCAGGATGTGTCCAGCACATCTCGCTCAATCCCAATCGGCCAAACCCCAGTAGCAAGCTAACCTATTGGTTGGAGCGTCTGCCCGCTGGTGGTCAGTGCATGTCATAGTGACTGGTCGACTGGTCAACTATCTGACCCCTGGTGGTCAGGACATCATAGCAGCCTTAACATATCATTAGCATATTATGCTTTGATTGGTTGAACAGCCTACCAGACGACCAGACACTTAGCATGTTGGGCTTTTATTATATAGGATGCAAATTACCTCAAATTCTGTGCCTCAGTCTCTCATCTGTAAAATGAGGATAAGA